TGTCTGGGTTTGGCGGTTGCCAGGAGAACGGTACTTGCCTGACTGCATTGTGCCAAGTGTAAAGTTTGGTGGAGAGGGGATTATGGTGTGGGGGTTGTTTGTCAGGGGTTGGGCTTGGCCCTTTAGTTCCAGTGAAGGGAACTCTTAAGGCATCAGGATACCAAGACATTTTGGACAATTTCATGCTCCCAACTTTGTGGGAACAGTTTGGGGATGGCCCCTTCCTGTTCCAACATGACTGTGCACCAGTGCACAAAGCAAGGTCCATAAAGACATGGATGAGTGAGTTTGGGGTGGAGGAACTTGACTGGCCCGCACAGACTCCTGACCTCAACCCGACAGAACACCTTTGGGATGAATTAGAGCAGACACTGCGAGCCAGGCCTTCTCGTCCACCATCAGTACCTGACCACACAAATGTGCTTCTGGAAGAATGGTGAAACATTCCCATAGACACACTCCTAAACCTTGTGGACGCCTTCCCAGAAGAGTTGAAGCTGTTATAGCTGCAAAGGGTGGGCCAACTCAATATTGAACCCTACGGACTGAGACTGGGATTCCATTAAAGTTCATGTGCGTGTAAAGGCAGCCGTCCCAATACCTTGTGGGCCAGTTCACACCATCTCCAGTGTGTTCCAGCATGATTAGCTGCTTGTACCATTTTTTGTGATTGCACTGGACTGCAACACAGGCAATGATGTGCAATGCCTTCTGGTGCGGGCTATCACACTAGAATGCACCATCACACCCCCTCCGGCTCCAGAATGCAGGGAGCTGGCCAGGATGCGATCCAATGCGTTCTAGCAGCTTATATTGCTGGAACGCACTCGAGGCGGTGTGCACTGGCCCTAAGACAGAAGCCGGTTGACCTACCAGCATATCTTTGGAGTGCGAAAGGAAACCAAGGTATCAAAAGAAAACCCATGGAGGACATGAAAACTCCATGCAGACAGTGTTCTGGCCGGGGTCTGAGCCATTGACCCCAGCGCTGCAAGGCAGACATGCTAACCCCTGAACCACTTTAACAAATGCACTAAACTTTGCATTCATCATCAGATTTTGGATTGGGCATTTTTGCTTTATTTTCGCATTTAAATGTAACAGTGAAAAAAGCCCCAGGGGGTTTGATTGATCAGCCGAGTGCAGTTGTAAAAGCTATCATCCCTGACAAGTGGTCACAGATCTGGTGTGCTATAAGGTCCTGCTACTCCGCTCAAAACCGGAAAAACTTTGCATCTTCTTATAAAATATGTTTAATGAACTTTTAAATTACTAAAAACATCTTTGAGGGTCAGTTGCATCTCCAATTTGTATTTTTAGTTCTAAAGTCATAATAATGCGCTGTCTTTCCTATGTAATTGTAGAATATCTATTTGAAGATCATTTCTAAGCAGACTTTTTCTGCTGAATTCCTCTGTAAGTGAGCTTAGCTTAATTGTTACCTCTGCAGGGGAACCATAGCAGCACAAATACACCTGCTGGTCTGATA